TATTCTGGACCATTCTTGTGGAACAATTTGCCAATATCGTTCGAAATATTAAAAATGATAATTCTTTCAAATACAATATAACAGATCATTTATTGAAATCAACCAGCTGAAAAAAATATAGAGTATCAATTATTTCATCATGTTTATTTTTTCATAACATTTTATGCAGTTGCACTGAACATTAACGTTATACTTGACTTTTATACTAATGTATGCCATGTATATGTTTGCTTTTTTGTTTCTGCTTTTGTATGATGAGGGCCTCAGGGAAGATGAGTTATATAGCTAACTGTGTAACCCTCTTAAAACAAAGTATTGTTGTTGTTGTTATTTTCAACACAGTTTGCCTGAGTTTTCATTTTACCCTGTACTCATAATTCTTGTGTTTCATACCAATGCATATGCTTTATATTATGGGCACTATAAACCATAGTTTAGAAAGCAAAAGAAATTTGATGTTGGTACAAAAATGTACCCTTTTACGTCTAAAAGTGAGCATTCTCCACATTTTTGCTGTCTACTGAACATAGGATTCTAAAGCAATTAGAACAGTGGATGCCAATCAGAAATATTCATTTTAAAATTTTGAAAAAAGTATGCAGATTTCTTTATATATACATGAAATAAGCTTATTATTACCCTTGCATATGAAGAACACATTAGAGGATGAAAAACTACTCATTAATTTTAGTTGGCCTTTTATAAAATAGAACACGATAAAATCAATTTTGGGTATAATTTATTATCTCAGTTGTGACACTGGATTTATATAAATTTGTCCAGTATAAGTAAGAAGAACATGATAATCATCATGTTATTTTTTCTTCTTTTTAGGACACACAAAGAAGACCTGTCCACACAAATAGAAAAATGACTGATAGAAGACAATTTGTTTTATTATTGTTTTTATATAAAACCATAAAACCACATGTTTTGTTATTCCAATTTCTGCAAGCTTAAGTATACATTATTCTATCAATGTACACATACAGTATTCCATGATGTACACGCACATGATTGGAGATAAGCGTTCAGTTGTTTTTCAGCATTTGCATTTGCACTTCCACTGAAATCCAATAATTAGTGAAGAAAGAAGATTTAATGCCCCTGCCGCAGCGGAGGGGACATTAAGGTTTACATTTGTCCATCCGTCCTTATTTACGTCCAGAAATTGGTTTCCGTTTTCTAACTTTAGTTTTGTATTAACCAAATGTTATGAAACTTGTACACAATGCTTATTACCACAAAACAGATCAGACAAGTTCGATTTTGGGTGGTGTTGCTTAAACAGTTCTCTAGTTATGTCCTTTTATAACGTTATATGCAAGCGGGGGCATCATCTGTGTCCCATGGACACATTCTCCATTTATTTATTACTATGGTTCATAAACAAATGGCCATCGGAAAAGTTTTTACCGGTACTATAAAGTTTATTGTATATTTGATATGAATTGAATCAATTGTGTTTCTCCTTTTTTGTTGCATTCATATTCCTAATCAGATTAGACATGATCACATATTTATGCATCCTGCTCAATTAAATTTATTTACCTTAACCAACATTTTTCTGTTGGCTTGAAGAAGTCCAGGAAGACATATTACTACACTTTTGCCACTGTTGAAGTTCAAGACTCTACTCTTCTCTAGTATTAGCATCTAGTAAAGAATTTAAACTTTAAAATGGGTTTAACCACTCATTCAAGTCTCAAGTCAGGAGCATGGTCATTGTTGTCTTAAGATACCTGGTACATATTAATGTTTTTAGATCTTTTCATATGTTACATATAAAAATAAGGAGATGTGGTATGATTGCCAATGAGACAACTATCCACCAAAGTTCAAATGAAGTGGATGTAAGCAATTATAGGCAATGTTTGCCCTTGAGAAGTCTTTTGATTTTTGTTGTGTTGTATAGTTGCTGTTGTAGCAATGTACAGCCCACAATTCTTTTTTTATTCATATTCAAGGAAACTTAGTTCCATTCATTATTATGGATATATGATGGAACTTTATCTAAACTGAATCAATTTTGAGATGGAAAGGATTCATGAAATATTTAATCTTGTTCTTTTGTTAAAAAAGGGAGGAATTTGAGAAATGTCTTGTTGTCGAGCCTTCGACTTTAGTCGAAAAAGCGTGACATAGCGATCCTACATTCCGTCGGCGTCATTGTCGGCGGCGTCAACAAATATTCACTCTGTGGTTAAAGTTTTTGAAATTTTAATAACTTTCTTAAACTATCCTGGATTTCTACCAAACTTGGTCAGAAGCTTGTTTATGATCATAAGATAGTATCCAGAAGTAAATCTTGAAAAAATAAAAATCCTGTTTTTCCGTATTTTATTTGTAAATGGACTTAGTTTTTCTGCCGGGAAACATTACAATCACTCTGTGGTTAAAGTTTTTTAAAATTTTAATAACTTTCTTGAACTATCCTGGATTTGTACCAAACTTGGACAGAAGCTTGTTTATGATCATAAGAAAGTATCCAGAAGAAAATTTGTTAAAAAACAAATTTCATTTTTTCCGTATTTTACTTATAAATGGACTTAGTTTTTTCTGCCAGGAAACAATACATTCACTCTGTGGTTAAATTTTTTAAAATTTTAATAACTTTCTTTAACTATCCTGAATTTGTACCAAACTTGGACAGAAGCTTGTTTATGATCAAAAGCTAGTATCTAGAAGGAAATTTTGTTAAAATTTTGTACCTGTTTATCAGTATTTTACTTATAAATTGACTTAGTTTTTCTTCCAGTTAACATTAAATACAGTCTGCAGTTAATTTTTTTTTAAACATTTATTAGATTCATGAACTATCCTGGATTTATACCAAACTTTGACAGAAGCTTCTTACAATCAAAAGATAGTATCTAAAGGAATATTTTTATTGATTTTTTTCCTCATTTTTGTTGAGCCTGCGATTAACAGCAAAAGTAGGCGAGACACTGGGTTCCGCGGAACCCTTACGAATTTTTTTTGAAAATTGGATGGGAAATAACCAAATTTCAAAACGTAAGATTATATCAGGGAGGCAGTAAAATATTAAGGACAAATAACACCATGGTCCAAATAAAACATTGAAACTACAAACAGTAGTCTTCAAAACAAATAAAAAACAGGAAAGAATAACACAAACCCAACTTGAACATGGAGTGAACTTAAAGGACTCCTGAAGTGTAAGCAGTTCCTGCTCCTATTATGGTACACTTTATGTCGCTAATTAGAACATAGAAAGCAGGCTAGGATTGTGGCTAACATAAAGGAACATTTCAGGCATCATCTGTGACATTCTGGAACAGTCAACCATGTTATGATGGTGTCCATAAAACTTTTGAAGAGATAACATCAACTTTACTGTGGAGTGAAGCTTCCTTGTAAGCAGCAACCCTCTATCAAGAAAATATAGATAGCAAACACAAGCTCTGGAATATCTTATATAATCCATATGCAGTTGCTGTTCCACAATGATACTACATCAAAAACGGAAAGTCTATGATGGGGAAAATTGAAGTCGGGTCTTTTGTTGTAAGTTTAGTTTAGACCAAATCCTCGCTGTGGATTTCTAGGTCTCTGTCGAGGTAGAAAACAGATCTACCTGTATTTGTGGTATCCTATATTTCAAGTTCAATCAGATAGATGCAATCAACATAATCATCAAACTTTCAATAATTTTTATTTGAAAGGTTGCAAATATTAAAAAAAAAAAGTGTGATTTACTTATCAAGTCATAAATTTATGTAAGTAATTTGCATATTGTTCACTTTTGAGATTTCTGATTTGCATATTGTTCACTTTTGAGATTTCTGATTTAATATAGGAGTATGATAAGGATTTGCTGATATACATTTGTACATACATTTATATGGAAGTCAGTCAATATGATGCTTTATACCCCAGGCTACAAAGTATATGCAATCATACTATTAGTTTTTATTTGTGCCAAAAAATACATTTTAACTGCGTGTGAATTCACATTGTGGATGATGCATGCATTGCAGGAGAGCCTAAACTGTCATCACAAACAGTCTCACTCCTTTTGGAGTTCATGTGATTCCCTCAGTTTTTGTTTGTTACCTTTAATTGTCTCTTCTTATTAATTTACGAGATTTGAATATCTGAAAACTAGTGCCTTAATTTAGTTTGTTACCCTGATTTGTTTTTGCTTAATTGAATTATGACTATTTATTTATTTTCTTTGCCATCCTTTTCAAAATCCCTGCCTGTAGCTTTCCATGTGATATTATTGTTGCTCTCATGTTTTGGTAATCTTTGGTCACATTTCTTAGTCGTTATGAACTTATGTTCTAAATAAAAGATCTTTTTTTAAAATCCAATTCTTAAATAAACTTTTAGTATGTCAATACATTTTTGTATTATTTTTTTTTATGTGCTATAAAATGGCTGCTGTTGTATTATATTGCTTAAAGTGTTACCCTAAAGTGAAATTAGATCTGATAGGTTAAATACATTTGGTATGCAGATTCGTTTTTAGGAGTAGGCACATGACATCCACCTCATTTTCTTTAATCACAATCCTTGTTTTTGCATTTCCAAAAGTGGTCAACATTTCCAATAATAAATAGACACAGTCATATTTCTTACAGCTGATTTTACTTCATATAAGAATTGTTATCCAATTAATATCTGGAAGTGTGGGTGTGGAAGGTGCTAAAAGTAGTTCATTTTCACTCAGTCCAGACATTAACAAGATCAATACTAGGTCTGGACCTGTGTTGCTGCATGCAATTGATTGAAGTAACATGTATGCAGGAGTATAACATTCCCACACCAAATATTAAAATTATTCACTTCAATAGGAGCCAAGAAAACTTTGATGAACATTTTCCTTGTACAATGAGTGCTGTTAAATTTCAAACTATCGGCAAACAGGTAGTGCCTATACACGGCAAATGTAAAAATTACTTTCTCGTTACAACTCAACATTATCAAGATGCTTCCGCCTTCTGCAACACAGGTAAAAATAACAAACTAGACCATAGGTTTTCTATACTTTACTGACTTTAATTTTGAAGTTACAACAACAACTTTTAGTATTTAAAGAACTGAGTAACAATAGTATCAAAATACAAAACAATATTTATTTTTATCTATATAATAATTAACATTGAAAAAACTTGCAAACATTGTCACAATGTATGCTGTCCAATACCTTACCTGTACACTTTGTCACATTGTGTGTAGTGACTTTCACTATCTGAATACAATGTCACAATGTATGCTGTCCAATACCTTATCTGTACACATTATCACATTGTGTGTAGTGACTTTCACTATCTGTATACAATGTCACAATGTATGCTGTCCAATACCTTATCTGTACACATTGTCACATTGTGTGTAGTGACTTTCACTATCTGTATACAATGTCACAATGTATGCTGTCCAATACCTTATCTATACACATTGTCACATTGTGTGTAGTGACTTTCACTATCTGTATACAATGTCACAATGTATGCTGTTCAATACCTTATCTGTACACATTGTCACATTGTATGTGTGTAGTGACTTTCACTATCTGTATACAATGTCACAATGTATGCTGTCCAAAACCTTATCTGTACACATTGTCACATTGTGTGTAGTGACTTTCACAATCTGTATACAATGTCACAATGTATGCTGTCCAAAACCTTATCTGTACACATTGTCACATTGTGTGTAGTGACTTTCACTATCTGTATACAATGTCACAATGTATGTTGTCCAATACCTTATCTGTACACATTGTCACATTGTGTGTAGTGACTTTAACTATCTGTATACAGTGTCACAATGTATGCTGTCCAAAACCTTATCTGTACACATTGTCACATTGTTTGTAGTGACTTTCACAATCTGTACATGTTGTCACAATGTATGCTGTTCAATATCTTATCTGTACACATTGTCACATTGTGTGTAGAAACTTTTAACATCTGCAATGTTGCATCATGTAATGACCAAATCACCATCTGCATATAAATATTCAATTGTGTGGATTGATACATTACTTGCATATAATGCAACATTATGTGTTGACTGATACACTTATCTTTATTGAAATTCCAGCTATTTACTGACATACTATCTTGATACACAATCTGCATACATTGTTGCATTGTCTGTTCAGTGGACTTATTTTTATCAAGTTTTTGTCAATTGGGAAGCTAATTTAAACTAGGATACTGAATTTCTTGATCTTGATTTTTACATTTAATTTGTATCAAAAGTCATAGTCCCTTCTCCTCCAAATTTACATGTAGTTCACAGTAAGTTCTGATAACTGGTGACGTAGTAATCGTCACTTAAACTGAAGTCCCCAACTTTTGAAATTTATTTCTATGAAATAAATGTTTTATTTCAACAAATATGTCAGGTCATTTTTATAAATTTCTTATACATTGTACCTCTGCAAATTTTCAACATAGTACAAAGTAATATTAGACTTTAGAAAAATAAGATGGATTAAAAGTTTTTAAAGGGATAATATGCAAGTTTTATATCTGGCATGACCACATCAAGTGACATGATAATGAAAAGCATTTCTATGCAAGCTGTGCTGTGTTCAAAATATAAATTCTAACAAAATGTTTAATGAAAGCTCACCAAAAAGAGTCAAAAATTTATTATTGATAAATACAATACAGAAATCCTAAATACCCATGACAATGTCCCCATGAAAATAATCTTATAATTTTCACTTTGAAATTAGATGTACCTATGAAACCTAAGAAATCATTTAAACATACATGATGGAAGAAGCACAAGTACAAAACAACAGACAAAAATGTACATTACAGGATCCTCTAAACAAAACATTTAAATCTTTCAAACATGAAGAGTCTGTATACATATTTTCAAATAATATTTTTTTGTACTGAAATTTTTAATCACTATAAAAGAATGCATTTTTTTTTCTCGGCTTTAGAGTTTTCTGCCCAAATAACATTAACATTAAAAAAAACTAATTCCCAATTACAAAATATTTTTTTGTGATTTAATAAATTATGAACAGCGACATGATTTCTCTGACCATTTATAGAAATATGAAACATTCCTATAATTGAAATAATGGCACAGTATATAATAATCCCTGAAAAATATCTCAGAAAAACACAAACAACAAAAATAAGCAGACATTATAATAAGTGATTACTGTGAAAGTATAATTGTTTATAGGGAACCAATTTTCATTGATTTCTGGGTTTTCCTTCATCCAAGAAATTTAGTACCCAATGCAAATATATATTTTCTGGGAGTCCAAATGTATTTATCTTTTAACCACAAATTTAAAATCATCAAATTTACAAACCACAAAAAATTAATACCCAAAAGCAAATATGCTTCCTTAGTAATTACACAAATTTTCTATAAATTTTGGAAGAAAAGCCTAATTTACTAGGGACAATAATGCACGTTAACTGCAGTTCATCATCTTACATTATACAAAAGGTATATCATTACATTTTGTAATTATAATATTATTGGCAATATAACACAAACAAGCACAAGATTTCTAAACACTTTTTTTCTTAAAAAACATCAAGTCATGACTATATTGGTGAACGGGAAAAAATTAGCATATACTTGAGCCAAAAGCAGGAAATATTATTACTGGTACAAACTGCCTCAAAGTGTCACACAAAGAGTAATGGAAACATAACAAACATGGTACCAGTATTGTATTTGTGGCTTTGGTAAAATGTTGTACAAGTATCTTAAACTTATTACAACAAATAATTAATTGTTCACTAATTTTAAAGAAAAGAGCGAATTTTTAGGCACTGTTAAAGATATCATGATGTCTGACTCAGAACTTTAGTTTTAAACATAAATAATTTTTAAACAAACACGAAGAATATAATCCTAACTTTTCTAAAATTTTGCAACATAAATGTTTATAAACAAATAAGCTGTGAGTAACATGCACATTTAATTGTTTTCTACTTGAACAATATATCCCTGTCATTGAAGCTTAGAATGCTGCCTTGCAATAAATGGGAAAACATCTTCATTCAACAAAATGTAAATGATAATTTGCCTTTATTTTCTTCTATCTTTTTAACAAGACTTAACTAAAAGTTATCAAAATTTGTAATTAATTCACCTATATACTGTACATTACAATTCAGAAGTGGAAGATTCTTTTGATCTTCTTTAATATAATCTCAAAAGTCTCTACACATGTACATTCAACAAAATTATGCTTAATGCATACATGTACATGTCTATATTAAACACATGTACATTAAACTTGTCCATACTTAACAAATGTAAATTAAACTTGCACATACTTAACACATGTAAATTAAACTTGTCCATAATTAACAAATGTACATTAAACTTTCCCATACTTAACACATGTACATTAAACTTGCCAAAAAAAAAACACATGTAACATGGTTTATCCACTTATAAAAAACACTTCTTTATTTTTTCGGTTTTTGTAAATGAAACTATGAAGATTTTGTTATTCTTAATCCATATTGAGCTTATGTTGTACTGTTATCGTGTCTTTTTTCTGCCAAAACCATGTGTTAAATACTGAAGGACACATGTACAAGACATGTTAATATAACTTGGTGTTCTGTATTTCTAATCTCATTTGATAACTACTTAAAAGAATATGCAAGTTTTATGTACTAAATTTTTTTAGGTCGATAACGTTAAGTAGAATTACAATACAAGAATGATAAAGAAAGGTTATTTTAAAGTTATCATACAAAAATATTAACTGTGTAACAATAACTGCTGTCAATTAACAATATTCTTAAAATATCACAGAATAGTATAATCTTTTACAGTAATATAAGTACTTCAAACTTTTTGACAGTTTTAACAAAAATTATACAAATTTAAAGCATGTTTTGTTTGTTAATTAAAGCTATTAATGTAGCAAATATCCTGAAAAGAATATGGGTTTAGGGAAAACTATTACAAAATCCTCATAACTAACATATGTAGAAACTGGCTCTGTTAACTTCTTTTAAATTTACAATGCCACAAATCACAGCTCAAATTCACAAAATAAAAAACCTTGTCATTTGAGGTCATAAACTGGCAAATATTACAATTGTAACATAACTTTTTATACTGTACATTTAAACCACTATGATATGAATTTTACACAGTATTTAGTGCCAATGGTAAAATTCACACAAACTTGGCTAATCTGTATAAAAAAGTACATTAGCCAAGTTTTTATCTTCAATAACAATGTATACATTAACAAATTTGTGCTAACAGATATATATTGTATTTCTATATTGTCTTGGTTTTTAGTTTCAGTGATTTGTGTATGTCGTCTGCTCAATCTAAACAAATAACTAAGTCAATATGGAAATTTCAATGTTTAGCAAAAGTTTAATTTCACTAACATGTAAAATGTTAAAGTTCTTATCTTATTGTAATACAAACTTGTACATTCTAATAAAAAAAATTCAATGGTCTAAATTTCAAGTTCCATTTGATTTAAAGTTGAAAAAAAGAAGAAAGATCAAAACATCTTAAAAAAATTTAAACTTGTAAAAAATTTCAGATAAATACAATTGTATTCAAACAGAATCATCAAAACAGTTCATGTATGAACTTTAACTGAACAATCAGATCTATAGGTCTTTATTCTGTGGTCTTCCTAGGTGTTTCCAATTTGAGCTCTGAGTCTTTTCAGCTCATCATGTTGGTAATTGGTGACAGCAGTAGCCTGTGCCAACTAAAAGTACAAACACAATGTTTTAAGCAACAATTCACACAAGATTCAGGCAATTTTGAATATGTGTGATATATACTCTACATTTGAGACTTTGAGCAGTCTTTTTCCATCAACTAACATTGGTTATATTTTATATACTATCTGTAAAAAAATATTCACAATTTGAGTACAGGTATTGTAAAACTGTGCTCTCCAGTATAACTCTGCATAGATGGTTATAATATTGAAATTAGACACCCTCAGGATTGTTTAAATTACTGTTAATGTTATAAAATGCTGGACCTTGTAAGGTCCAGTGACAAATATTACATGCATATCAGGACAAGTAAATGTTTCTTTGATATTTTAAGATCAAGTCCTATAACTTTGTAACAACTAATATGAAATGAATCAAAATCAAATGGTAACTGATATTCATTGAGCCTAACATTGCATAAAATGTGGAAAGGGCTTACCTGGTCCTAGTCTGTAAGGAGGAGGTGGCTTACCTGGTCCTAGTCTGTAAGGTGGAGGGGGCTAACCTGGTCCTAGTCTGTAAGGTGGAGAGAGCTTACCTGGTCCTAGTCTGTAAGGTGGAGGGGGCTAACCTGGTCCTAGTCTGTAAGGTGGAGAGGGCTCACCTGGTCCTAGTCTGTAAGGTGGAGGGGGCTAACCTGGTCCTAGTCTGTAAGGAGGAGGTGGCTTACCTGGTCCTAGTCTGTAAGGTGGAGGGGGCTAACCTGGTCCTAGTCTGTAAGGAGGAGGTGGCTTACCTGGTCCTAGTCTGTAAGGTGGAGGTGGCTTACCTGGTCCTAGTCTGTAAGGTGGAGGTGGCTTACCTGGTCCTAGTCTGTAAGGTGGAGGTGGCTTACCTGGTCCTAGTCTGTAAGGTGGAGGTGGCTTACCTGGTCCTAGTCTGTAAGGAGGAGAGAGCTTACCTTGTCCTAGTCTGTAAGGTGGAGAGGGCTGACCTGGTCCTAGTCTGTAAGGTGGAGAGAGCTTACCTGGTCCTTGTCTGTAAGGTGGAGAGGGCTGACCTGGTCCTAGTCTGTAAGGTGGAGAGGGCTGACATGGTCCTAGTCTGTAAGGAGGAGGGGGCTGACATGGTCGTAGTCTGTAAGGTGGAGGGGGCTGACATGGTCCTAGTCTGTAAGGTGGAGGGGGCTGACATGGTCGTAGTCTGTAAGGTGGAGGGGGCTTACCTGGTCCTTGTCTGTAAGGAGGAGGGGGCTGACATGGTCGTAGTCTGTAAGGTGGAGGGGGCTGACATGGTCCTAGTCTGTAAGGTGGAGAGGGCTGACATGGTCCTAGTCTGTAAGGAGGAGGGGGCTGACCTGGTCCTAGTCTGTAAGGAGGAGAGAGCTTACCTTGTCCTAGTCTGTAAGGAGGAGGGGGCTGACATGGTCGTAGTCTGTAAGGTGGAGGGGGCTGACATGGTCCTAGTCTGTAAGGTGGAGAGGGCTGACCTGGTCCTAGTCTGTAAGGAGGAGGGGGCTGTTATGGTCGTAGTCTGTAAGGTGGAGGAGGCTGACATGGTCTTAGTCTGTAAGGTGGAGAGAGCTTACCTTGTCCTAGTCTGTAAGGTGGATAGGGCTGACCTGGTCCTAGTCTACAAGGTGGAGAGGGCTTACCTGGTCCTAGTCTGTAAAGTGGTGAGGGCTTACCTGGTCCTAGTCTGTAAGGTGGAGAGGGCTTTCCTAGTCTTAGTCTGTAAGGTGGAGAGGGCTCACCTGGTCCTAGTCTGAAAGGTGGAGAGGGCTCACCTGGTCCTAGTCTACAAGGTGGAGAGGGCTTACCTGGTCCTAGTCTGTAAAGTGGAGAGGACTTACCTGGTCCTAGTCTGTAAGGTGGAGAGGGCTTACCTGGTCCTAGTCTGTAAGGTGGAGAGGGCTTTCCTAGTCTTAGTCTGTAAGGTGGAGAGGGCTCACCTGGTCCTAGTCTGTAAGGTGGGGAGGGCTTTCCTAGTCAGTCTGTAAGGTGGAGAGGGCTCACCTGGTCCTAGTCTTTAAGAGGGAGAGGGCTTACCTGGTCCTAGTCTGTAAGGTGGAGAGGGCTTTCCTAGTCTTAGTCTGTAAGGTGGAGAGGGCTCACCTGGTCCTAGTCTGTAAGGTGGAGGGGGCTTACCTGGTCCTAGTCTGTAAAGTGGAGAGGGCTGACCTGGTCCTAGTCTATAAGGTGGAGAGGGCTTACCTGGTCCTAGTCTGTAAGGTGGAGAGGGCTTTCCTAGTCTTAGTCTGTAAGGTGGAGAGGGCTCACCTGGTCCTAGTCTGTAAGGTGGAGAGAGCTTACCTGGTCCTTGTCTGTAAGATGGAGAGAGCTTACCTTGTCCTAGTCTGTAAGGTGGAGAGGGCTGACCTGGTCCTAGTCTGTAAGGAGGAGGGGGCTGACATGGTCGTAGTCTGTAAGGTGGAGGAGGCTGACATGGTCTTAGTCTGTAAGGAGGAGGGGGCTGACATGGTCCTAGTCTGTAAGGTGGAGAGAGCTTTCCTAGTCTTAGTCTGTAAGGTGGAGAGGGCTCACCTGGTCCTAGTCTGTAAGGTGGAGGGGGCTGACATGGTCCTAGTCTGTAAAGTGGAGAGGGCTGACCTGGTCCTAGTCTATAAGGTGGAGAGGGCTTACCTGGTCCTAGTCTGCCCTCTTTACATTGAAATACTTCTTCAAAATCTATGCATTTTTCATTGGTTTCAATATAAATCTTTCTAGAATACAAACCATATTTAACAAAACATCAATCTTCAATTTCAACAATGCTATTTCTTCTTTCATTTGTTGTTTCTCTTGTTTCAATTCTGCTATCTTGTTAGATGAGTTCTCTTGTTGATTATCTAAAAGTAAAAACATGACAACTCAGTTTGATTAATTATTGAAAAGGGGAACATTGAATAATATCAATTGTATAAAACTGCTTAGTGAGGAGTTACTTTTTAAATCTAATATTTGTTTTGTTATAGGTGTGTGTTTCTCTAAGTAAACAGGAATTCTATAAAAAAAAAACAACAAAAAAACAAGATAACAAACAGGCTGATTTTGTGTCATGGATGGATACCCCACATCCTTTCTTTTCTATTAAACAAAAAAAATACTTATCACATTTAGATTAGTGAAAATGCAGAAAGTTTATACATTAAAAACAAGCAATATACAGACAATCAGAAACAGGAGAAAAATTTGCATTGTCATGCACAACACTAAATATTAGTTTCCAAGAGTAACTTCACACACTACCAATAAAATTTTCAAAAAGACAAAATAAAATTAGCATTATCATGATAATGGACCAATACTTAAGCACTGTGAAATGAATAACTTTTTATCTCTGAATAAAAAGATCTTACTGATAAAAATACAGGGTCTGGTTCTTTAAAATGTCCAAAATATTAACTTAGTTAGTTATATAAACAGACCTAAAAATAAATTTAACAAATATCACTAGTTTTTATTATACCTTCATCTGAGCAGAGTGGTCTCTCATTTCTAGCTTGTATGTACTGTAGACGTTTTTGTTATAGTTTGTTACCTTCATCTGAGCAGAGTGGTCTCTCATTTCTAGCTTGTATGTACTGTAGACGTTTTTATTATAGTTTGTTACCTTCATCTGAGCAGAGTCGTCTCTCATTTCTAGCTTGTATGTACTGTAGACGTTTTTATTATAGTTTGTTACCTTCATCTGAGCAGAGTCGTCTCTCATTTCTAGCTTGTATGTACTGTAGACGTTTTTATTATACTTGCTTACCTTCATCTGAGCAGAGTCGTCTCTCATTTCTAGCTTGTATGTACTGTAGACGTTTTTATTATACTTGCTTACCTTCATCTGAGCAGATTCGTCTCTCATTTCTAGCTTGTATGTACTGTAGACGTTTTTATTATACTTGCTTACCTTCATCTGAGCAGATTCGTCTCTCATTTCTAGCTTGTATGTACTGTAGACGTTTTTATTATAGTTTGTTACCTTCATCTGAGCAGAGTCGTCTCTCATTTCTAGCTTGTATGTACTGTAGACGTTTTTATCATAGTTTGTTACCTTCATCTGAGCAGAGTCGTCTCTCATTTCTAGCTTGTATGTACTGTAGACGTTTTTATTATAGTTTGTTACCTTCATCTGAGCAGAATCGTCTCTCATTTCTAGCTTGTATGTACTGTAGACGTTTTTATTATACTTGCTTACCTTCATCTGAGCAGAGTCGTCTCTCATTTCTAGCTTGTATGTACTGTAGACGTTTTTCAGTCTTCTCTAAGTCTTCAAAAAGAACTAAGTTTGTAGTCTACAAAAATAAAAATGACCATTTCAAAATGCATTTTGTGTTCAAATACAAAAAAGTACATTAAAAAATAAGGAAATTTGGGTAAACACAAATAAGACAGAAACCCAACAACAAAAAATCAAAAGACATCTAGAGGTCAATGTCAGAGTTCTACCTGGTGGTCCTTGACTGTATTTTCTATTGCAAAGTACCAAAATTTGTCGGTCTTTTGCAAAAAATTGGTAGTCAAAACCTTCGGTCCACCACTTTTTGAGAAGTCTGTCTGCAATGTGGGGACTACAAGTGTAACCTGGTCATCACATTGATGAAATATAGGTGTGATAATAAGCAGCTAAGGATTCACAACCATGTTATAAATTACTGAACATGAATCAGCTAGATAATGAAGCATGAAAAGTAGATCCAGGATGACCTACATCAATCTGAATAATCCACTCAGACTCAGACACAACTCCATAGCTTTATATGACTTAACATCCTACACTGCCATGAAGTAAACTTTCACATCACCTTCAATCAAGGTCAAAGAAGCATGATAGAAGGTCAAACTGGTGTTGTTTTCTATAGATGCTTGATACTTAATGCCAATTATAATGGTCTCTTAAAATACTGTAACAGTGTTTTCCCTTACCTAGAAAATTTATTAAAACCCTCAAATTGGAACCCTAATGAAGTATTCCTTTCTCTCAGCTGGTAGAGCTGTAGCCTACTGTTCAAGGGGTCCTAGTATCAACCCTGGCTAGTACAGTGGTGATCTTGGACAGAATCTCAGTCTCAAATGTTACAGTACAATGAAGTTTTAATATATACACATTTTGATGGAGAGATGAGCTAGTATATATTAAAAGAGAGTTTGCATGCGGTAATGAGATTGACATTTATAGTAACATGAAAACAGTACCGGTAATTTGATGAATACTCTCTATCTTTTGCCATTACATTTTAGGGATGAACCTTATTGGACTCTCCATAACTAAGAAACCATTAACTTATAGAATGTGTTATATAATCAAGTTCTTTTTATAAGTCAATGAAAAAATCTTTTTCGAACAAAACCAGAAATTGTCTTGAAAAATGCAGCCATGAGTTTTCATGAGGAATTCCTTGATTTGATTTGATTTGATTTTTGGTGTTTTAACGCCACTTTTAAGCACCGCTTTTGGGCTATTTCGTGGCGGCCAGTTTTTATTGGTGGAGGAAGCTGGAGTGCCCGGAGAAAACCACCGACCTTCGATAGTAAAACTGACAATCCTAGTCAATTAAGATTGGAGTCGAGTGCACCCGCACGAGCGGGGTTCGAACTCACAACCTCAGTGTTGACTGGCTAGTGATTACAGTAGTAACTACTTAGACCACTCGGCCACCGAGGCCCCTGGAATTCTTTGAAAAGAATGCATTAATTTGAACCAAAAATTAATATAAGATATTTTGGGGATTTATCCCATCTGGCCCCCATCTCAGGAACCACCAATAAAAATAAACAATCGTGCAAAAAAAATCATTGTATATATAAATCTACAAACAAACTAAGAATATATCACAAAGTTTGTTTTGAATTTTATGTCTGTGTAACATATTACATATCAATAAAATATGTTACACAAACACAACATTCAATATGAACTTAAAAGTCAGTCATCTATATTTGTCCTACAAATGCACTTTAAACATACTGGCCTTATTCATTAAACTAAAATGTTGCATGTAATATTTGAAGTTCCATGAACACTTACATATGACTTAATACAAATATTGAACATGAATCACAGGTCAAAAACATACACATTTTGTATCTTTGTCTGAATGTGTGTTTAGAAAATCTTATAACTTATAGTACAGTGTTTCTTCAATATGAATCTGATGTAAAAATTTATCTCAAAAAAACATCTTCATTTCTTCAAGTGTGACACCTATGTCATGTTGACCAACTTAAAAAATATATGCAATTCAATTACAAGATACATACCAGTACCTTGTACAGAGATTAAAAAAGATACTCATTCTTTTTATGTTCTTGAGATATGGGTTATACATGATAAATGAACACATGGAGACTCAATTCAAAGAATTACTACATTATAAATATTGTATTTTACCTTGTATCTTCCACATGGTACTGTCTTCTTGAAGGTTTTAAGATGGTCTTCTTCAACGTCTTTCCTTTTAACAACACCCTTTTTCCAGTTTCTTTTTCTAGGCATGTTTCTGCTGTCTCCACTGAAATAATTTTGAATTATACAATATAATGGATGAAAAAGAAAGAATTTCACAGAGAAATCATATATGCAGAGCTTCTTTTTTGCTAGCAAAGTAATAAAGTTTACTTTTTTCATTTTAAATTAAATAACAAACATCTAATTAGAGAAATCCCATGTGTCAGTTCAAACACAAAGGTGGAACTGGGTTCTCACTATGCTATGATATGTTCAGGGTGATTCCTTGAGCTAATAGAATATATTCAGGGTGATTCCTTGAGCTAATAGAATATATTCAGGGCGATTCCTTGAGATAATAGAATATATTCTGGGTGATTCCTTGAGCTAATAGAATATATTCAGGGTGATTCCTTGAGTTCATCTCTTTTTGAAATGGTGAGTCCAAGTGGATTTTTGATATAGTACATTTTAATATACAAACAACCAAATATTTGTACAGGAACCACTCTCATTCCAAACACATAGAGTATGGGTTCTTCTCATTTTTGAAGGTCATGTTGTAAACATCATTGCCCTAGATCTTTACACGACAAACAGCATATTTAAATCTATTGGTTAATAATTAATTGGGTTCCTTTGACAGCTTTGTTGCCTAAAAACATGTACTGTGAAAGTACTTTTAATCGTGGGGTACCAATTTTCGTAGTTTTCTTGGACGGTGTTATCCACGAATTTACGGGTCCAATGATATATAACAACTATTGTCCAAATCAAGGCATGGAAAGATCCCCATGTAGGTTTGACTACATGAATACAGGCATACAGTTTAGAGAATGCATCGAATATCAGCAAACTCATTATGATCTATATATAACCACTTCAGACAGAATTTTACCCAACTTATCTTTAAATAAATGTGGATCCCCCACTAGCATATCATATAGTTATAAAGGGACATAACTGAAGAACAGTAATAAGCATTGTGTATAAGTTTCATAACATTTGGTTGAGGCAAACTTAAGTTAGAGAACGGAAACTAAAAATTTTGCAATTTCTACATTTATAAAGGGGCATAACTCTAGAACGGTTTGAGTGACGCCACCAAAATTCAAACTTGATCTGTGTTTTGTGGTAATAGGCATTGTGTATAAGTTTCATAACATTTGGTTGAGGCAAACTTAAGTTAGAGAACAGAAACTAAAAGTTTTGCAATTTTTCCATTTATAAAGGATCATTACTCTAGAACGGTTTGAGTGACGCCACCAAAATTTACCCTTGATCTGTATTTTGTGATAATGAGCATTGTGTATAAGTTTCATAACATTTGGTTGAGGCAAACTTAAATTAGAGAACGGAAACTAAAAATTTTGCAATTTTTCCATTATAAAGGGGCATAACTCTAGAATGATTAGAGTGACGCTACCAAAATTCACACTTGATTTGTATTTAGTGGTAATAAGCATTGTGTGTAAGTTTCATAACATTTGGTTGAGGCAAACTTAAGTAAGAGAACGGAAACTAAAAATTTTGCAATTTTTCCATTTATAAAGGGGCATAACTCTAGAACGGTTTGAGTGACGCCACCAAAATTCAAACTTGATCTGTGTTTTGTGGTAATAGGCATTGTGTATAAGTTTCATAACCATTGGTTGAGGCAAACTTAAGTTAGAGAACGGAGACTAAAAGTTTTGCAATTTTTCCATTTATAAAGGATCATTACTCTAGAACAGTTTGAGTGACGCCACCAAAATTTACCCTTGATCTGTATTTTGTGATAATAAGCATTGTGTGTAAGTTTCATAACATTTGGTTGGGGCAAACTCAAGTTGGAGAACGGAAACTAAAAATTTTGCAATTTTTCCATTTATAAAGGGGCATAACTCTAGAACGGTTAAAGTGATGCAACCAAAATTCAAACTGGATCTGAGTTTTGTGATAATAAGCATTGTGTGTAAGTTTCATAACATTTGGTTGGGGCAAACTCAAGTTAGAGAACGGAAACTAAAAATTTTGCAATTTTTCCATTTATAAAGGGGCATAACTCTAGAACGGTTAAAGTGATGCAACCAAAATTCAAACTGGATCTGAGTTTTGTGGTAATAACTATTGTGTGTAAGTCTCATAACATTTGGTTGAGGCAAACTTAAGTTTAGAGAACGGAAACTAAAAGTTTTGCAATTTTTCCATTTATAAAGGATCATTACTCTAGAACAGTTTGAGTGACGCCACCAAAATTTACCCTTGATCTGTATTTTGTGATAAAAAGCATTGTGTATAAGTTTCATAACATTTGGTTGGGGCAAACTCAAGTTAGAGAACGGAAACTAAAAATTTAGCAATTTTTCCATTATAAAGGGGCATAACTCTAGAACGGTTAAAGTGATGCCACCAAAATTCAAACTGGATCTGTGTTTTGTGGTAATAAGCATTGTGTATAAGTTTCATATCAGGTTCAGGCAAACTCGTTAGAGAACGGAAACCAATTTTGGGACGTACGGACGGACGTACGTACGTACAGACCGACAAGGGTAAAACTTAATGCCCCCTCCGCTACGGTGGGGGCAAAAAAACATTAACTGTACGACTTTTAACATTTTAATTCTCATCAAAAAACAGTTTCGATCGATGAAAGTCAGACTTCCTGTAACGATATGCGATGATGAAGTGTTCATTAGATCTCATAATTCTCATTATTTAAATATTAGGCTTGCTTTTCTATTTCATACGAATTAATTTTACAATTCAAGGTATTTTTTAAGATTTTTTTTTATATAACAGTTTACTTAAGTGACATGTGTATGGCCCAATTAACACTTTTGATGATCGTTAATAACATGGTTATGAGGTGATCTATATATATAAAGTGTGGTGTTAAAGGTTTAGAGTGGTCATAGATGTAATCAGTGAGGGGATAAATATATACAATGAGGTGATAGATTTAGCAAATAAGTCATTAGGCTTCCTGAGAAGAAACATCAATAAATTCCACAGAAGAAATTAAGAAAAGAGCAGGGGTTCAAATTTACTTTAGGCAATGTAAGATCTAGGACCTTTGACCAAAAATACTTAAAGGTTCTCCTTTAAAGGTCCAATTTTTATTGAAAATGTAATTGATAAAAAATCGAAAATGCTTACCATTCCAAAGCACTCATCATACATGTATCTTATTACATTAACCTCATTTTTTTCTGAACTTCTTTAATAAATTCAATCAGAAAAAGGCTGCCCCTTTTCCCCAACACTATATGCTGTGTTAAATAACACTTTGCACCTTTTAAATTGTTTTGGTTTCAATTACTGCTTTAGAACATACTGGTCTTACTTTGTGTCAGACAGTTTCGTTTTCAAACTTGGGGTCAGTTTCTTTTAACCACATATTTTGGCAAGATATATAGATGCTGGGAGGAATTTTTCATCATGATTTTTTATGGGGTAAAGTTATAAAATTTTGTCCAACGAACCAGGGCACTTTCCCTCTCAGTGTATGTGGGGAAAATATACGTTCTCGTTTTTCCCTGTCATACATTTGGGCTTTAGTCAGATCCTGTCTTTGGGCAGCTTTAAGCTGTTTCATCAATCACTACCGCTGTATCACCTGTTTCATCAGGGTTTCTTTTGGAAGAGGTCACCCCAAAACCAAACAGACTCATACTGTTTACTAGTTATGTTCTAATATTGTATTCTCCAGTTTCCCGGTATCTTGTCAGACGACTGGTCACATGACTACTCTGTGACATCAAATCAATTGTGAAGAATTTAAGCAATCACATAAGTTTCCTTTTAGTATTGTTGCACATTTTAAGGTTATTTTTACACTAGATTTTTGTATTTTTGTTCAAAATGCTTTTGTAATTTTTTTAACCTGCAAAAATACAAAAGTCCGTCGGGTGTAACTAACTACCGGTGGGAAGGTCCGAACTCGTAAACAGAAGGTCACGGACCTCAGACCATCGCTAATTTGAACCCCTTAAAGAGCATACCAAGCAATTGTAAGACCAAATGTTGAATATGCTTGCAGTGCTTGGGATCCATACCAAGATTGCAAGAAAACCACATAAAAAGATAGAAATGGCGCAAAGAAGATCAGCATGTTTCATTAAACATCAATACAGTAGAGAACCTCGATCAGTTACTAACATACATGTAGTGAAGGAGTTAAAATTACCATCATTAAAGACCATATGAAAAATCAAAAGGCATTGCTTATTTCATAAAGTGGCAAGCCATACATCATAAAATAGCCATTTCTAAATATACCAGATCATGTACAATGTACAACAACAAAACAGGGCGACAAGGCAATATTACCGACGAAGATTCAGAAATCTTTAAACATCAACAAATAAATACAGCTTCTTTCCTCGTTCCATCAAAGACTGGAACAGCTTAACAACAAAACTGTTAAATATAGATGATGCAAAGGCATTCAAAAAAAGCCTCACATCTTAAATGAACACCGGTACCATATTAAATGACTGACTTAGTACTTGCGTGATGGGCCTTAGAACCTTTGCATTTCAATGATGTAGATCATTACTTGATTTTCAAAAATAAACCCTGTCCTCTTTGACTTCTGTACATTATTTTTTTTTAAGTCAAATTCATATATTTCACTGAAATCAATATTTTCCAAATTTACAGAAGATGAAGAAGATGTTTATTTTCATTTAAATGAGCTCACAAGGATCATAGTAATATATATAGTTTATAATGTAATTTTGTTTTAAATAGCCAGACATTATACATGTTAGCCTGATTTGCTGCCGGTTGGGTTCAGGGTCACAAAAACAAACTGCGTATCATTTTGCGACAAATAGTCTGAATTACCTCTTCCCCTCACTTTCCTGTTTGACTAAAAGATATCTTCCACGACACTATTCCTTTCATCTAGCACATTTTCTTTCAGCAGACTGACCCAGATTTCAGAATATTCGCCGGGTTTGGCTGGAAACCCTGGCCAGCTGATTCTGTTGCAAGCTGGTTCCTTGCACAAAAGAGTTACCAGTCAATAACAGTAGAATACCAAAGTTGATTCCGAAATCGAACGGATTATCCGGGATATTCATTTATAGCTCACCTGGTTTCAAGGGCCATGTGAGCTTATGTCATCACTTTTAAGTCCGTCGTTAGTCAACATTTTCTAAAAATCTTCCCTCCTGAATCCTCAGAATGAATTGAAACCAAATATGTTTCCCGGAGTTCACCCATACTATAGCTAGGATACCTACTATCAAGTTTCACGGCCAGTGATTTTCGTCCATTAACTGGCCACCCGCTGATTGATACTTCGACACAAACGTCTGTGTAGATTAGAGCGAAACAACAGCAGGAGTCCAGTTAATTTCGTCCATGTCATGGGTGAACTCCGGAAGATAAACAACAAATGGAAGTTTTTAACGACCTTGACTGGCTATACAGCCCTTGCACGGTCGGAACTCCGGAAGATATACTTCTTTACGTATACAATATACCATCAAGCATAGAACCCCCCTTTGTTTGACGATCAATACATTTGAATGGGGACATATAGTTAGAACCCCCCCCCCCCCTTTTATCCTGGGTTGGGACCCCCCCCCCCCCCTTGTAAATGGCTGGATCCGCCCCTGAAAACTATAGTAATAAGGGAAACACTAAAAGTGTAAAAATTGTCACCCGACGACAAGCACTATATCATCTACCAGGCTGATTTCTTAAAAAGATTTGTCAAACCGTTTTGCCTTTTGGAGTAATTGTTCCGTGCCCCCTAAATGTAGTTTCCCTTTTTTGTAAGTTCTAAGCTATTTTTCCGAAAACTAGCTAGATTAAAAGTGAAAAATTAAAAAAATAATCAACTTTACAAGTCCTATTTCCCGAAAAATTTTCAGAACAAGAGGCTGTCAGAGTGACAGCAAACCGGATTTTCCTGCAGAGGTCGAACCCTGGACAGTTGAGCAAGTATGTACACTACATTTAAGCTTAAAACAGCTCTGAATTTGGATTGTGATAGAATATTTGACACAGCATAGGTGTGTGACACAAAATGAATGTGGTAAAGAACTGAAATATTTGAAATTGGACATTTACCTATTATGGTCCAATATCCAAAATGTAAGTACATATTAGAATCAGCATATCAAAGAACCCCAAGAATTCAATTTTTGATGAAATCAGACAAAAGTTTAATTTAGGACCCTTTGGACCTCAATGTGGACCAATTTGTTAAAGGAGCCCACAATCCAAAATCTCTCAATACATGGTTAGATTCAGCATTTCAAAGAACCCCATGAATTCAATTTTTGTTGAATCAAACAAAGTTTAATTTTGGACCCTGATTTAGACCAACTTGAAAACTGGGCCCAAACATCTAATATTTAAATACAGGTCTAGATTCAGCATTTGAAAGAACCCTATATATATTTAATTTATGTTGAAATGAAACACAGGTTAATTTTATCCATTATTTTCTTTGCAAAGGGAAATAACTCAAACTGGATAAATAGTTCTCTAAAATAAGATATGATGCAATTTTTCAAGTTATAATCAATAATATAATAACAATAACCAGTGATGAATAAGTTCTCTAAAATTAGATATGATTTAAATTAAGCATTTCAAAGAACCCTATATTTATTCAATTTATGTTGAAATCAAACACAGTTTAATTTTGGACCCCGATTTGGACCAACTTGAAAACTGGGCCCAAAATCAGAAATCTAAATATATGTATGTAAGCCTCAAATCTATGCCCAGCCTCAAATCTATGTCCTTTCAGCAAATGTATGTCCTTTTTAATATTGCGTCATAGACGTTCCAAATTTATGTCCTTTATTGTCTCAAATCTATGTCTTTTATTGTCTCAAATCTATGTCCTGTATTGTCTCAAATCTATGTCCTTTATTAACTCAAATCTATGGCCATTTTTGTCTCAAATCTATGTATAAACACGGGATCAAGAAAAGCAAACAATTTGAAAATGTTGTAGTTTTTATAGAATGTAAATCATATAATAATTACACACGCATGTAAAATTTTTAAGCACACACATGGAGAACACATCCCAACTTAACATTGAATTTTGGGAAATGACTTAATAAAACAAAAATCCTATAAGGCTGTACTTATTAGACGGGCATACATTAGCACATGGCGAAACAAACTGGAAAAAGATTTAAGAAAAGGACACAGATTTGAGGCCGTATCTTTTTTAACGGACATAGATTTGCGAATCACGTCACGATTGAAAATAAATTTGAAAATAGGACACAGATTTGAGGCCGTATCTTTTTTCACGGACATAGATTAGCGATTGACGTCAGGATGGGGCACAGATTTGAGGCTGTACACAGATCTGAGGTTTACATGTTTATTAATAGAAAATATAAGCTTGGTTTTTAAAGGAGTTCACTTCATCAAAAAAAAAAAATATATAGCATTCAGAAAATTAGTTTTTACAGAATAACAAACAAACTTGTTACAAAATTCTTCAAACAATTTACCAAAGAAAAGAAGAAAAAAATCCAAAATTTTATTTATCATTAATACAATGTCTTTTCAAAATCTATAAAACTTATCAGTAACAAGAAATAATTGTAACAGGTTGCTGCTACGAAGTCTCCCAAACAAAGCTCCAATAATTCATCATTCTCATGGTCGCCTGACATTGGGCAAAGTTCAGTACAAATTGGTTTGTGATATATGCATAAGTGACGCCTATGGATTGACCCTGTATGTCATTCAAATCTTCTTGAAATGACTAACAGGAATATATATGGTTTAGGGTTGGAGATCTCGAAATTTTACAAGTTCTCAAAATGGGGGGGGGGATCCCCAGGGGACTCGCCCTTTATTTCATATGAAATGGGTTTTTTTTGTCCCATACAAGAATATATATGGTTTCGGGGTGGGGATCTTGACCGTTTACAAGTTCTTAAACAGGAGGGGGTGGGGGTGACCCCAGGTGACTTGCCTTTTATTTCATTTGATTTGTTTTATTGTCCCATACAAGAATATAAATGGTTTCAGGGTGGGGATCTTGACCGTTTACAAGATAAAAGCACATTTTCAAATTGAAGGGGGGTGGGGTAAGAATATATATGGTTTAGGGAGACTTGATTATCTACAAAATGTCTAATAATGAACAGTAAATTTCAAACTTCATTTATACAGTCCTACTAGTAAATTTCAAACTTTTATATATTATATATACAGTCCTACAGATCTTATCAGGAAACAGAAAATTTTCAAATAAATCTGTCACTCCAATGATTATCATATACTAAGATATTTCCCAGATCTAATTAATAATGAAAATCATACTGAAAATGTCTAATAATATAGCTTATAATCATCACCACTTAGGAAATAAAAAATTTTCAAATAAATTTGTCACTCCAATTTTTATTGTGAGATAAGACATTTACCATACGCTTAGTCATGAGAAAAATATTTAAAAATAACACTTTTGGATATTAAAAATGATGATAACTCAAAAAGGAGAAATACTAAAATCTTGAAAATTGAACTAGATCTTCATTAAGTCCCAGGAAACAACATATTTAAATTTGAAAAAAAATCGTTAAAGCGTTTTCATGTTATTGTGGAGACACTGTTTGGCAGCCGCCCGTCCGCCCGCCCGCCGTACATCCCCAATTTAATAACCGATATTTCCTTCGAAAATCCGGTTAAAAATCTTTCAACCTGTTTTGAGTTTTTGCCATGAAAAAGTAATAACCTTAAGTTTACACTACATTTCCCAGGATTTTACTGTTAGAATTAACAAACTGTAGGAGCTATGTTAACAATATGAATTGATCAGCACAATAAGCAGTGGCGTAGCGATGCCATTTTTTTAGTGTACGCCCGAACCTCGGCTAGGGGCCTAGGAGCCCTCAGCGGGTCGAGTGCTGAGGACCTCCTGGTAGGGGTTCACGGGGTCAAAGCCCCAGGAAGCTTGAGACGCGTTGTCGAGAAAGAGATACCATTTCTGACATTAAAAACTCATCAATAGCAACATACTTTAGAGTCTAATTTGTTTATTTGTATGTTTAATTTGTTAATTATGTTGATTTGGAATCTAATTGTCATTGGTTTTAGAGAAAATTGTCCAAACCAGTTACCGTAAAATATGTTTAAAAGGAGATGTGGGATAAAACACGCAAAAGACAAAAAATCCAAAACTTTAGAGATAGCAAAACAGCAAAACGTCTCCATTTCAATGTTGTCGTTCTATTAATTATTTTGACTTCATCTAATTTTCTCAAAATTTTGGTATTTTAAATTGCTAATTTTATTATTTAAATACGGGAAAAGTAAAAATATATTTTCTTTATGCTCTAGATACTGTCTTTTGATCATAAAAAAATTTCTGTCCAACTTCCATAAAATTTAATGAAGGTTGTCAAAGTCATTGATGGCTGAAAAACTGTATCCAAATTTTAACTGTCAATATAATATTTTCACAATTTAGCTCTGGATACTGTCTTTTGGTCAGAAAAAAACTTCTGTTCAAATTTCCGAAAATGCCATGAAGGTTTGACAAAGTTATTGATGTTTAAAAAAAATTTAACCACAGACTGAACCTAAATGTTGACGACACCAACGGAATCTAGGATCGCTATTTCACCGCGCTTTCGCGACATAAAGGTCACAGGCTCGACAACTTGAAAATGCAAACCACATAATAATATCGTATCGCAGCAGATAATGAATTGCTTTAAACAATAGTAGAATTCACAGTAGATTCAGACTTTGACAGAAAATGAACAATTATATAAAAAGTAAAATCACAAAAATACTGAACTCCGAGGAAAATTAAAAAAGGAAAGTCCATAATCAAATGGCAAAATCAAAAGCTCAAACACATCAAACGAATGGATAACAACTGTCATATTCCTGACTTGGTACAGGCATTTTCATAAAAGACAGTTAAGTTGTAAATTAAGAATAAGCGCTCACTCTTTAAAAAAATCGTAAGGGTTCCGCGGAACCCATTGTCTCGCCTACTTTTGCTGTTAGTCGCAGGCTCAACAAAAATG